ATAGTGTCTCCCAGTCTTAAGATGTAAACGTAGCTTGGGTTGTAATAGAAGCTAAACCTTCCTGACCCAGAATAGCCTTGCAGGGTTGAAAACAGAAATTTCTGTGACTGCTTGTAAGTGCTAAAGAACTGTCTGTCTGTTTACTATATCCTAGGAATCCCCTCCGTCACCAAGGGACAGCCACGTGGCTCGTGGGTGAGTCCTGCTATCAGATATATCCAGAGGTCAGCAAAAGCGGTGAGCCATTACTGATAAAACAGAGGCACCAGTTTCAGGTTAGGCAGCCCACTGTGCTAGTGGAATCAGTCTGGGCATCTCTGAGGGTGGCCCTTCCTCCTCCTGGTAATGGAGGAGGGACATGCAGACCATATTGGAAGAACAGGAACATGCTGACCACCCTGACCTGTGCTCTGGAAATTTGTTAGTTATGTACCCATCAAGAGGAAGGGACCTAGAAACATGAGCACAGTTTGCTCACCCAGAAATATACTGTTCTGATTCTCTTAACATCAGGTTTTTACATTTCAAACACGCCTTTTAAGGAGAAATCAGGGTTTGAAGGGTGTAGCTCTTTAGCATTCTGAGGGACCCCCAATGCAGTTGCTTGCAGGCTCGTTTAGGATGCTTACCAGCTAAAACATACCTGCTTGTCTCTTAATGCTGGTCACTTGCAAGGAGCCAAGGGATGGGGTCAGAGAGCCAAAACCCTGGTCACCAGATCCATGCTTTTGCCGTCAGAGCACATTCAGCTCCAGCTGGGAAGTGGGGGATGTGCCATGCTATGCTTCCCTCTCCCTTCTCTCCTTTACACATAGGCCAGATTAACAGCCCAAACCTGGATGCTGCTGTGACACGGAGTATGTTTTAATGATTTTAATTATGGTTCCTGCAGCCAGAACCCAGCCTGGCTGCTATTGAGCCAGGATGAGTGCAGGGTGGGCGTGCCTGAACATGGGAGGCTCCACGCCAGTCCTTGCATACCTGCTTTTGATCTTGGGCATCTGCCATCGCAGGGTGTCTTTGAAGGCAATTGCCCTTTCAGCCACTGACGGGGTGTTTTATCATTTGCAAACTAAGTTCTGCACAAAACTCTCTCGAAGGAGAAATAATCGAAATGCTGCCAGCCTGGAAACTCCTGTCTGCTGCAGGTGTCAGTTGAAATTCCAGTTCTCTGTCAGTACTTAGGGCTTTCCAGACTATTTTCCACCAACTGCAGCAACAAATTAAATAGCATCTATCATTTAGTGTCTCAGAAGGCTCCACGCCACCAGACAGAAAACAGACCATGGGAGGACGTGGAGCTGCCTCTTCACTTTGTGTCATGCACAGATCCTTTGCTCTGCCTGAGCTTTCTGGAAATGATGGCCCAAAACACCGCGACACAAATGTGGAGCAGCACTGTGGGGCTGAATGCCTGGGGCTAGGGCCAGCTCAGGACAGGGCTGTCCCCAAACCCACAAGGCACCAGATTGTGCCACCTCTCGCCCATGGTATTTTCCTCATTTGTGCCAAGATCTGCTAAAGAATTGGAGAAATGTTTTGTTGTTGTTGTTTTTAGGGGTGGAAGAGTAAAGTGAGTTTTGGCTTGTAATTATGGATAGTTCGGGTAAGAGTTAGCAGGAGTTTCCAATCCAGTCATGTGCAGTGAGAACGGATACCTCTAAAAGCTGTTCAGCAGCATGCCAGAGTGTAGCAAGACGTTATTTACAGCATGTGCTTTAACGTGAAACTCATAAACAGTGATACTGACAGCTCAGCTGTGCTTCTTCACAGCATTCCATCCAAACCAGGAAGATGTACTGTCATCAGTGCTGGCTGAGACCTTGTGGGTGAAATATTTGATTCAGCAAAGCCATCCCTCTGCGCAGACGTAGTTGTTGAATCACAGAATTGGGTTGGAATGGACCTTCAAAAGTCATCTAATCCAAGCCCCCTGCCATGGACAGGGACGTACTGCAGTGGATTGGGTTGCTCAAAGGCCCATCCAGCCTGACCGTGAACATTTCCAATGATGGGACACCCAAAACTTCTCTGGGCAGCCTGTGTCTCATTTAATCTTCTGTCAGGAGCTTTCCTGGTTAACACTGGAAGCAAAGCCCAAAGCAAAGCCCCCACAAGCAGGTGAGGAAGGACACCTCTCTTGATTTGGGTTAGAGACCCAAATCCATGAGTCCTAGACCACAGGCCGAGTGCCTGACGACCGAGCCTCCATCTATTCTGGGACAGGCTGCTTGGCTTGGGCTTTCTGTCAGGCTCTGTCTTTGCTTTCTTCAATTACATTTCTCTGTTAACATTTTGCAGGGGTTATGCTTTTGTTCCACACCAAAACAACTCAGATCCCACAGCATTCCTGAAAGGACGCAACTCCCGTTTGCTGGCTGGCCCAAGTTATCATGGAAATTATTAGTTTCCTCAAGTGCTTATTGTACTCATCCAGAAATACAAGCTTGCCCTGTTTCAATCCGAAACACTGTGCAAAGAAAGGAGAAAATTCCACGTAGCACCACAAGCATTATGCTTGCAGGAAGGTGGTATGTTAATTAATAAAGTCTGGGAGCAGTGCTTTAAGATATTAAGGAATTTTTTATGCAGAGAGAGATGGAAAGATGTATCTTCTTATTAGATTATCGACTGTGTGATACTTCTATTGCAATTATGTTCCATTTCATGTCTTGCTTGCTTGCACTTTAATAGTGTTTCTAATAGTATGATTGTATTAGATTTATTTCAGCAATGGGAAGGAGAAGTAAGGGGCTAGAGGCCAGACAAATGTATTCAGAACTTTTGAATACAGAAGTGCTTCATAGGAACAGCTGTGGGGGTAGATGCTGGAGGAGAGATCCTTTTATAACCAAGGACCTGCGGGGAGTGGGATTTGCTTATGAACAAAGGAGGGTTTGAGACAGTGGGTGAGAAGAGCCAGGAGAAAGGAACTGTGGTTGTCCCAAAGGGTTTTGAACATGAAGGCCCTGCTGAACTGGACTGGTAGGTGTGTGAATCAGAGATGAGGCAGTGGGCTCTATGGCTGAATGTCTTCATTTTAATGCAAGAGGCAGAGAAGGTGCCTTTTTTACAGGCTGCAGTGAGAACAGTGAAGAATAGTGGCTCAGGCTGATCCATTTTTGAAGAGTGTCCAGAGGATGCATACAGAAATATCACCTTGGACCTGCAAGCCTCTGAGCTGCTGCCAGCCCAGCCTGGTGCTTCTCCAGCGCTGGTGAGACCAGAGCCATCTCTTTCCCCAAAGGGGAGTTGGCATCTCCTGGAGCTAAGCACATTAGGAGGCATTTGCCCACTCTGATATGGCCACTGATAGCCCTAACTAGTGGGGCTGGTTGAATCACCCCTTGGGCAGAAGCCAACCTGTGGGTTGGACCACAGAGCTGCAGAGAGCAGAGAAGCTGTTAGTCAAGCGAAGAGAGATAAAAGGAAGGTGGGGATTGCAGTGCCTTTGGCAAATAGTGCCTTAACTGGCGTGGGACAGCCTCTCACTTGGCTGTGCCCATGGCCAGGCTGCCAGTGCTTCAAACACGTCATAGAAAAAAATGGGGTTCCTGGAGCTGCACGAAGTACTGAAACACCCCCACTAAAACTGACTGCTGGGCATCTTTTCCTTGGCCTGCTGGCATTGTTCACAGCATTGACCATATGTGACTTTACATGAGGCGTACCTGTGGAAAACTGAGTGTGAACTAAAATTCCTGTGTTAGAATATTGCCCAGGTGTTTTCTTCTGCACACTACCGGTGACTGGATGGAGATGTTCATTTTTAGAGTTTTCTTCATCTTGGAAAATATTCAGGTTTGGGAAAAGGGCAGCGGTTTGCAGTTCTTCACTACAGTGTATTACTATAGCTCTTTGAAACTCCAGTTCTGTGTCAAGACAAATAGGATTTCCCATGAGCTCTGACCTGGAGTCCAGTGTATGGCTGAGGCAGAGGCTTACATATTGGGGCAGTAACCACACAGGAATAGAGCAGTGGGAGTTTGACAAGAGTTTCAAGCGATGAAACTCTCAGTGACTGCATTTAGACTTGGGGACTCACCCTGTCATGGTTTAACCCCAGCTGGCAACCAAGTACCATGCAGCCATTTGCTCACTCTTCACCACTCCCCTGTTAGGATGGGGAGGAGATCTGGAAGAAGTTGAAGCCCACGAGTTGAAATAAGGACAGTTTAATAACTGAAATAAAGTGACAGATAATAATATCAATAATAATAGGAAAAAGAGAGGAAGAGGAATGAACTTCAGGAAACCCAAGTGATACACAGTACCATCACTCACCACCTGTTGACCGATGCTCAGCCCTTCCCCAAGCAGTGATTGGCGTCTCCTGGCCAGCTCTCCCCAGTTTGTATCCTGAGCACGATGCTCTAGGGTATCAAATATCCCTGAGGCTAGTTTGGGTCAGGTGTCCTGTCCCTGCTCCCTCCCAGCATCTTGTGCCTTTCCTCACTGGCAGAGCATGGGAGACTGAAAAGTCCTTGACTTAGGATAAGCACTACTGAGCAACAACTGAACCATCGGTGTGTTACCAGCATTATTCTCAGACTAAAGCCAAAACCCAGCACTGCACCAGCTACTAGGAAGAAAAATAACTGCATCCCAGCCAAAACCAGGACACTCCCCGAAGCTCCCATAGTTATTTTTTCAGCTGATCTGGGGACTACCCGAAGCCACTTTGAGGGTTTCCTGCAAGAGGCCGAGGAAAACAGTCCTAATTCTTACCTATACTAATATCTTCACACTGCTGCATCTACAGAGAAGTTATGCACAATGGCCTTTTGTCGTGGTGAACCCAGGACACCTTTATAACCCACTCAGCTTCTCTAGACCCATTTTGGCCACTGTAAAAAGGATATAGCCCAGAATAATTATTCTTTATTCTGACACATCCACACACACAAAAAGTTCAGGATAAGAACATAAATTCTTTCCAGACTCCTTCTGGATGTATCAGGAAGAATCAGGCCCAGATTCTGCCCTTAGTTGCCGCAGATGCATACTGTGTAGCTCCCTAAATCAGAAAAATTACTCTGTACTTACGCAGTGTCAGATTAGAAGCTATGAAATCAAAACCAAACCCCAGAGTTTGGCAGCAAGCCATAAAACCTGTAGTTACTTAGAAGTGGTTCTCTGTCCCAGGAAAAGAAGAAAGCAGTATTAAATCTGACTTACAGCCGCACAGGGTTAGATGCCAATGCTTCCATCTCATTGAGAAGACAGTAAACTCTTCTTTCTAGTGGTGCTGTGCTAGTATTTCCTGAGTCTGCTGCTCCTTAAATTCCCTGCTGGTTCAAGATTACTTACAGATTCCTGACTGCTGTGGGTCTGAGATAAGCTGTGTTAGGGGAGAACTTTATCCATGGAGAAAGAAAGAGATGACATTTCCCAAACCTAACATCTGTTGGCATCTACAGAGCAGTTTGATGCATTAGAGGCGTCCCCTTGGGAGAAGGAGTAACTGTGTTTCTATTTTTGCATGAAATCAGGCTCAGCAGAGGGCATGATGCTGCATGAAAATCAGTGTGGATCTGCTTTCCCACTGTCATCTCCTTGGAGTTAGGGGTGAGGCAGAGGATGGCAGTAAGAAGAGGAATGCAAGCAGCCCTCCACATCACCTACTAAAGCAGAGGGGGGTCTGTTTCATGCACTTTCTGCTGGCTGCCAGCCAGTAACGTAACTCACTCTGCTTCTGCTCTTTGCAGGGAGACAGCTCTGTTTCCGCTAACTGCTTGGCTCAATTCGGCACTTTTTATTATAGCCCAACATAGCACGACAATGCAGCTGATTCACTGCATCACGGCTGGGGTGAGGACCGCAATCATGCCATCCCAGGGGAAGCAGTGGGAGTACGGGAGCATGAGCTCTGGCTCTGCTCCCAGCCCAACTTTTGGGACTTGAAAGGGATGGATGTGCTGTGTTCTAAATATCCACTCGTACACCTTTAACTCCAATGCTTAAGCTTTCAGGTATTTTAGGTTAGAGCTGTCTCCTAACCAGCCTGAAGCTACGCTGCACCATGCTGTAATCCTGACAATCCTTTTGACTGGATGTGCTTGGATCTAGTAATTTTCCCGATGGCTGACCTCCAAGAAAAATGGTGTTGATCATTTGGTAGGTTTCAGGGTTGGGTGTGAGTCAGCTCTGAGTCAGGCAGCAGCTCCACTAAGCGCTGGTCTTTCTGTGCTGGCACGACCCGTGCAGCTGCAGCCCTGCAGCAGATGCTGCTCCTGAGCCTCCCCAGCAGCAGCATGTGAGAACCCAGGCACTGGGCACCCACAGAGCAAAGGGGCAAGCCCACAGCCCCATGCTTTCAGCTGGGTATGTAGTCTGAAGCCCTCTTGGCCTTGGAAGATGGTGGAGTGCATAAATGTTGCTCGGTCCAGGCAGGGAGAAAGACTGGGACCTGCCTCACCCCCTTCAGAGGGACCCATCCAACTGGGGTGCGGACACGCAAGTCACTGCTGAGCAGAGAGCTTCCCCGAGCCAGGAGGAAGCAAGGAAGGAGTTTTGTTCAGAGACCTCAGTCTCTGGCACGGTGTTTCTGTTTATATTCCCATTTATATTAAGCAGGGTGGTGTCCCAGTCCTCAGGCACCCGAGAGAAAAGCCAGACACAGGCTCAAAGGCAACACTCATTGTGTGTGTTGTGAAAAGCAACGTGACTGACAGGTTCCCCGCTCTCTCTTTGTCTTTCTCTCCCCCTCCCCGGTGGTGTGATTGAAGCAACGCCCCGTGAAGCAGTCCCTGAGTGCCTGCATGTGCCGGGAGTCCCACTGGAAATGTCTCCTCCTCTCCATCCTCATGTATGGCTGCCTGGGTGCAGTGGCCTGGTGTCAGCTGGCTCGGGTCACCAAGCTTAGCTTTGATAGCTCCTTCAAGGGCAAGTCCATGATCTACCATGACAGCCCATGCTCAGACGGCTATGTCTATATCCCGCTGGCCTTCCTCTCTATGCTGTACGTGGTGTACCTGGTAGAGTGCTGGCACTGCCACGTCAAGAGAGAGCTGCAGTACAAGGCAGATGTGGACAGTGTCTATGAATGCATCAACCGCATGCAGCAAGCCACTCCGTGCATCTGGTGGAAGGCCATCAGCTACCACTTTGTGCGGCGAACCCGGCAGGTGACCCGCTACCGCAACGGTGATGCCTACACCACCACACAGGTCTACCATGAGAGGGTCAACACCCACGTGGCTGAAGCTGAGTTTGACTACTCTCACTGTGGATACAAGGACATCTCTAAGGAGCTCCTAGGCCTGGAGAGCTACACAGCCACCAAGCTGAGGTTCACCAAGTGCTTCAGCTTCGCCAACACTGAGTCTGAGAACTCCTACCTGACTCAGAGGGCTCACTTCTTCACAGAGATTGAGGGTCTGGATGACTACATGGAGGTGAGGGAAGGAATGCAGCTCAAAAACGTGGACTTCAAAGAGCTGATGATGGCCTACGGGGACCCGGATCACCTCCCATGGTACGTGTCCCACTATGCTTTCTGGGTGGCAGCTATCCTCATGATCTCGTGGCCGCTCAGGGTACTCATAGAGTATCGGACTGCTTACGTCCACTACCACGTGGAGAAGCTGCTGGGCCTGGAGTACACGGCACCCACGGCGGTGGAGGAGCCCCTGTACCGATACCGCATGCCCCGCGACACCACACAGGACAGCACGGAGCTGGAGTGGCACATCTGCACCAACCGGCAGCTGATCCCCAGCTACTCGGAGGCCATGCTCATGGACCTGGCCAGCTCCCCAGCCTATGCAGTGTGCCAGTACAGCCAAACGGCCCACGGCTGTGACCGCTGCAACCGCGCCTCCAGCACCTCCTCCATCTTCTCGCGCCACGCTTTCCATAGCTGCAACTCCCGCCTCTCCCTCAACACCAGCCGCTTCTCCCTGTGCCGCGTCCATGGCTCCCACAGGACAGGCCTCTGGAGGAGCCGCAGCAGCAGCATCGCCGACCGCGGCTGCCAGGACGAGCAGTGCTGCTCCTACTCCAGCCAGCTGGCCATCAATGAGAATCCCCCGACCTACCATGATGCCCGCTTCTTCCCCGTGCTCATCGTGCACCGGCCCGAGGGGCACAGCGGGCAGCCTTTCTATGTCAGGCGCTCCTCCTGCCTGGAAACCTCGCTGTGACGTGAATCCATGATTCCCCAGCTCCTCTGCCCCGGGATGGGGCTCGCAGAGGTGCTGCCAGTGGGAGCCTGCAAGTGTCAGTCCCCGCAGTGGGTCAGCAGGATGAGCTTTAGCTCTTCCCCCTGCCACTGCAAGAAGATGTAGTCCCTCTGACCAACAGCTAACCTCATTTCCCTCCTTCCATTGGTGTCCCTAGGCTTTTGTTCCCCTCTTCCTTTCACTCTTCACCCCTTCTTGTGCTCCTCAGGTCCCTGCCTTCCCTCCCATCCCACTCCCAGTCTTGTTCTTTACATCTCAGCCACAGCATTGTTGCCACGGGAGGATTTATAAAGCCTGTGCTCTGCAGTGTATTTGCCCTCCTGGATGCCCTACAAGGTAAGAAACCCGGATAAAGCAAGGCAAAAGGCGAGAGTCAGAAGGCGAATCAGATCTGCAGACACTGAGTAACCATCTGCAAGCCCCAAACAAGTTGCTTTTTTAATGCATTTTATTTTCACCAGTCTTTTTTCCTTTTCTTCTCTCATTTATTGTCTCTTTTCTTCATGTTCTCCTCCTCTCACTTTACCCTCATCTTCCTTTTTCCTTTATTTCAGTTTTCTCACATCTGCTCTCCATTTTTTCAGGGGGTTTGCCAGTCACGGTGTCTTTCAGGGTGTAATTCCCTTACACTGGGCAAAAATACGGTATTTGCAGCACAAACATCACTGCTGACACAACCACAGGCTATGCCCCTGGGAAGTGCTGAGGACTTTCTTTCCAGAGCAGTGACATGCACCAAGAAAGCAAAATGCCCTTTGCTCACCTTGCCCTGCCTGGGCTGCAGCAGAGGCACTGCTGCATTTCCAGCTGTAGTTAACCTTGCCCAGCTCCACCCCTGTTAGCAATCCTTATGAGCCCTAATGTAGATCAGTGTCCTGTTAGTGCCACTATTTTTAGGACCGTGGGTCTGGTTTGTGGTTGTTTCATTCCCAGCACTTGCTCAGAGCAGCGCGGGCTGGACAAGACAAGAGGATCTGCAGAGGGAAAGGCAAATATGGTATGAACCCTCCCAGGGGTAGTCTGGAGTTGCTAGGAAGCTCTTCCACCCACAGTGTCTATTAGAGCAGTTGCAGGACTGCTCTACGTTATCATTCAGCAATCTGTGTGCCCTAGGAAGGCTTTTTGGCCAGTAGCCCACTGCCTCCTTCCCACCTTCCCAAGCAGGATGTGGTGCCACCCCAGCCCCAGGCAGGGAGCACAGCCGGGAGCCAGCCCCACCGGCCATTCCTGCTGGGATAATGGCTCTTCCCATAAGGCTTCCCCTGGTGCAGCAATGCCAAACCCAGGAGGTGTCCTGCTGTGCTCTGGGCTGTGGGCTGCCCTGCTGGCCCAGTGGAGAGCCCCAAGAGCCAGGGACCAACCCAAGAAGCTTATGGCCACACTGAGGACCTGCCAGCGACCTTGCACCTGCAAACCTCCATCCCACAAGGGATGGTCATGCGCTGAGCAAGCTCCATACCATGTTGTTGTGTGGATGGTGGAGATTATTATCCACCGTGACTCACAGGAGAATGCAATACGATCGCAACACTGTCACTTTAGCACACAAAGTGTTGTCACACCCTGCAGCATATAGGTAAGAAACTGAGCCCCAAGAAGGGCTGGTAACAAATGCTTCCTCCCAAGTCTGTTCTGTGTGCATCTACATGTGATTTAAGATTTATAAAGTCATAGTCATATGTGTAAATTATCTATAACTCTGCATACTTATATGGTGGTTTCTTATGGCATTGACTGTTGCACTGTGTTAAATACATTTTGTTTTGGTTTGATGACTCCGTTTTGATGTGCTGTATTCATTTCAACTCCAGAAATAGAAGCATTGGCAATACCTGGCTAACCTGCTGCAAATGATGGCACCACCAGGAAAGTTGTTTAAATTCATATGAGTTGATCTTTTTTAATATAAATACTTTATGTATGATTTATGTGACATTTTTGTTCTGACAGCTTGGCATTTATCGCAGAAGATGGATAACACATATGATGTGTTATTTTAGCACCTCTTAAAAAAGAATAACCATCCCAGACATGTGGAGGAACCAGGTTTGGGCTCAGAGTAATGATTACGTTTGGGCTGGCGCCAAACTGGGTAACATTGAAACTTAGAGAAAAAACCAAAGGGTGTAAATCCACCCTGCAGTGACCCAGTCCTACTCTCCCATCTCCATCGTGCCACCTACCACCCCCAGGCAGAGCTGGGAGAGTTTGGGAACTAGGAGGGGATCAGGCCTGGACTCAAAGCTCAGACTCATCCCTGATTTACTTGCATTCCAAAGACAAAGTAAATGCAATCCTTTAATATGGCTCCCTGTCCTCATCTTCACTCACACAGAAAGTTAAAACCAGCACATATGGAAGATGTAAGAGCTGGAGGAGGATGAAACTTCACGAAATAGAGAGGCTGGAATATTTCAACACGGTTTCTTACTGAAGGAGGTGGTAGGGAGGAAAACAAGAAAGGAGATTTGGTAGGATAATATAAATTAAAAGAGAGCAGAGTTCAGCTGCAGCTACGATATTTCCCAAATGAACAGCATAACTCAGTTATGGCAAGCTTAGACCAGACGCAGCCAGGATGAGCTTCAGTCTTCTTGTGAGCTGTAGCAGCCACCTGTGGCTTTAAATACCACATCCAAGGTCTTGGCATGGCCACTTTGGTCCCATATGTATTTCAGAATGGAGAGCTATATTTGGGCCCTCAGAAGTGGTCACGTTAAACAGTATTATATTCTGACGTGAACGAGCTCTGGCAATCCCATTATTATGATGGGCTGGGCAGAGAATGGAGTTTAACATTTAGAGTGTCCTCAAAAGCCAATGTAATATCCAGCAGCTCTCAAGCTGTGTCCTTGGCAGGGTTTGGAAAGCACAGAGGGTTTCTGCTTCCTCACTCCCTGTGTTCTGGCCCAACTTTGGGGCATTTATTTGAGAAGTCATCCCTAAGCTGCAAGAGCCCTCACACACACAGAGCTCTTTGCTGTCACTTGCCGTAGCCTCCAGTGGTGACTGAAAGGCTGGGAGCAGCTCTTATTCTGGCCTGGGGCTGAATATGCTGCCTTCAGCAAATCACCCACTCAGGAAACACCTGAACAGCCATCCTTGGTCTGCTACACCATAGAGCAGAGCTACTCCTGTGGCCCTTGAATGCCACTTCATCGTCACTCTTGCCATTGCCACAGCTTCCTGATGCAGGATGAGGGATCTGTCTACTAGCGATGGAGGGAATAACGCTGCTCTTCACATCCAGAGTAGGGGGCAGGCAGGTTCTCAAATCCAAGTGCAAACCAGGCAGCTCTATGGAAAACACCTTGCACAAAACACAGGCATTTTGTATCCAACTGCAGACTGACTGCTTTGACAATAGAGTAGGCCATGTGCCAGCAGCTGTTGGTGAACTTCCAGGGCTTCTCATGGAGATAGGTGGTTTGGGGTGCTTTCTCACAGGGATAACCCATCTTTATCCCATTTGGTCTCATAATTAGAAGAAGCTGAACAGCACAGGAAGGTGAGGATGCCCAGCAAATATTTCTCTCTCCTGCCTTCTCTCCCGCTTCTCTCCCTCTCTTCCTTTCTTCCTTTTTCTTTCTCCTTCAGAAGTCTCCCAGCACTGGGAATTCATCTCTTGATTGTTGTGCTCCTCTTCAGGCATTTTCTAGAACATGTGTACGCAGCCAGCAAGTCCAGTGAGATGTGACAACACAGTATCGCAACAGAAGTAAGGAAAGGACATAAGCCAGGAGGGCACTGGTTTATTTATAATCCACTGTGCATCTGAGCAGCGAGCACTGCCACCAGTGTTATGGCCTGTAGGAGAAAGTCACGTTGCTTAATTCAGTGGCCCAAGAGGTCAGAAGAGCTTATTTTTGTTCAGTACCTAAAAGCATTTCAGATTCCCCAGTTCTTTTGGTTTCCGCACGGTACCATTGCACTCCTCCGTAAGTTTTCCCACAGCAGTTTGCACTCCAACTGGCAGTGCGTGCAGGATTCCAGTCCAATTTTCATATGGCTTTTCCTGCCTATCACTGTTAACACAAAGCCCTTTTCAGAAGAGCCGAAGCCAGATCCCCTGCTGAGGAAAATTCCCTTTGGTCTCCTCCTTCCAGCAAAGCTTTGCTTTCTCACACTAGCCTGGAGCCTGGCCTGTGCTGTGCTACAACTTTCTATCAGGTACTCCTCTTTGCAGATAAACGCTCCCTTCCCCTTCCCAAAGCCTTTGGGAGTATCACCTATGACATTTGGGTGAAGGTAGATTTGGTTATGGTAGAAGCATGCTCCAGGCATGCAGCATGGAGCCAGTCAAGCCTCTCTCAGCTGCTGCCTCCCCCGATGGGTTTGGCTGAGTGGCAGTGCTCGCCTGTGCCTCCTCATTCCTGCTTGTACACTGGAGCGTTCCCTGAGCCCACAGGGCCAAGGTGGTGGTGTAAGCCTCTGTAATTGTGAGGCCGGGAGAAATGCTTAGAAGGAAAATGCCATAGAAACACAGCATTATTCTAATGGGAATTCTTTGTTTTTCTCATGAAAAACCTAAAATCTGCAGAAGTAGCTACTTTGTGGAAGGCGCTATCGCCATGAGTAAGTGCCGATGGGTATATATGGATACATGGGGGAGAGGGAGCAGTGACAGCAAGTGTACGTGAGGCTTTTAGCAAAGAACCAGCACAGAACCTCTCAGCCCAGGAGCCATCGTGATCCTGGCAAGAGGTATGTCACGATTTCCTGTCCCCAAGAGCACCGAGGCTTCCCGCAAGCTTTTAGGTGGATGGCTTCCCAGTGTATCCCCTCACGGCCACCTCACTGCGGCCGGAGGCGCTGGAGTGGGATTGACATCTCCATTCCAGTAATGAAATGTTCATGGCATGGCTCCAGTCCCCTAGGAATTCCTATCAGAAATGCAAATAGGAGAGGGAGGGGGAGATCAGAGCTTGGGAGGGAATTACATGAGCTTGTCATGCCTCAGTTTCTCCATCCCCCTACTAGGATAACGCAGTTTCCCTGTGCTCCTCTGTTTAGCCAGGTTTCCAGAGCGTTGCATGCTGATGGCTGTGGCAGAGCTGCCTCGTGTTCTAATGATATTGTTTCTTACGGTGCTTTTCAACCCAGATTCTCACCGTTAACTCCTACGTAAAGGCAGTGACAGATCTCTTTAAGAACTGCCGGTGACTTTTTCCACGCCGTGCTTGTAACTGTGGCAGCAGAGGTCTCCTTCCTCAGAGCTCTCCCTACTTTTCCACTAGCAGAAAAGAGGGCAAGGCCAAGCCTGAAGAGCACGGGCGGCTCTCCTCACGTTGCCGCTGCTCTTCCACAGGTCAGGCACCGGGATCGGGTGGCCGGCAGCCCCGAGTGATGGGAGCGTGGGGCTAGAAAGGGCCGGCCAGGGAAGATGGGGCTGGGGCTGCTGCCATCGAGGGGAGGTGCTGCTCATCCCAGGTTTAAATCCTGGGTTTAGGCGGGCTGAGCCCCGGTGGTGGCGGCCTCAAACCCTCCTCCGCTGGGAGGCTGGAGGGTGCGCGGGGGCTCCATAGGGGCCAGGCTGGCCTCCTGCTTCCACGTGTAGAGAGGCCAATAAGCGACCTGGTTCCCGGTGCCCCGGCAGCTCCCGCGGATGTGGGTCACCCGCTCTGCAAACCAGGCCGCCCGGTGGGGCAGCCCCCGGGGGTGTGGGGGGAGCCGCCTGCAGAGCCCCTCTCGCTCGCCCTCCAGAGGAGTCCAACCGCGGCGTGGCGCGGTCCGGTCCCGCGGGTGCGGAGCGGGGCCGGTCCCGGTGATTCGCCGGTCCGGGGGCGGCGGGCGCCCGGCTGATGCATATTCATGATGTGATGTCAGAGGGGGAGCACAGCGCCCCGTGACCGCCCGAGAGCGCCATTTCCTGGAGGAGGCGGCGGCGGCGGCTGAGGAGCGGCGGGCGGGCGGGCGGAACCGTGCGGGGGAGCCGCCGAGCGGCTGCGCGCCGGCAGGGGGAGACCGACCGGCGGCGGCGGCGGCGACCGGACCGGACACAGCGACCGGACCGATCGACCCGGAGGGGCCTCCCGCGCTCGCCCCGGCCGGAGCTGCAGCCAGAAGTTTGAGTCCCCGCAGCCTCCCCCGGGACCCCGTCGGCGGGAGGCGGTGCGGGGCTGCCTGAGCCGCTGTCGCCGTCGCCGCCTGCGCGGGCGGTGGGAGCCCCCCGCGGCGCGCCGGGAGCGGTGGGGAGGATGGTGGTGCGGGAGCGATGGAGCTGAAGCGGAGCATGGCGATCCCGCGGCTGCTCTTGCTGGGACTGTG